TATCAACATATCAAAATATATAAATAAAATACATGTATATTTTTTTAGTATGAGAAAAATTTCCAAAGATTTTCATTTTTTTTTGTTAAAACTCAATGTAAGGATTTTGAAGGATATCTAAATTTTTTAAATTAAAATTTAATATTCTATGGAATACATTAGTTTTTTTTTTTAAATATATTATATATATATAATTTATATATATATATAAATATATAACATATAAATTTTAATTATAATGTCAAGTTTAACAATGTAATTTCAAAAATGGTATAATTAAAATTTATAAAATAAATTTTTTTATACAATTTTAGATGTCATCTTATTTACAACAAAATTTCCAATGAAATAAAAAATTTTTTATTTGTTTTATAATTTTATTTTATTTTTTAAAAATAGGGATAAATGCAACAAATATATTCATTTTTATGAACCTATTTATTTTTAAATATGAATTTATATTTATCAGACAAATAATTATTTGTCGTCTATTTCAAAAAGGCAGCCAGTTACATTCTAATTTTTTTTTTTTTGTTTTAAAAATTGGACTTTATTATTTATCTGTTGGGTGAAATAGAAAAACAACTTCTCAATATAAATTCTTTTTCTTTTTTTTCTTTTATAAAATTTTTGAAAATTTAAAAAAAAATAGAATTTTTGTTCAACAAAATGGATTAAATTTTTTCAGTCTTGAGTGGAATTTTTCATTTCTAAATTAACTTTTTTTTTTTAAAATATAAAACAAAAATTTAAAATTTAATAAAAAAAATCAATTTCACAAATATTTGAAAAAAAAGGAAACTGGGAAGATTCATGATCATTTAAATTTAAAATAAAGAGACAAATTTTTTTTTTTATTCTTGAATTTTTAACAGTGCATATAAAAAAATTAATAGATATCATGTTGCCTTTTATTTTATATATATTTTAAAAAAAAGCATGCAAATTAATCTATTAATTTATAAAATATTTTTTTAGCAATTACTTTTGAATTTCAATCTGAAATCTTCACTGTATAATGTTTTCTCAATATGATTAAAGGAGAACATTTGAGTTATAAATAATAAGAAATTTAGATTTTTTGTTAAAATAATAAATTTTTTTTTTTATATTTTTTATGAACTTATCATAATAAAAAATTTTATTATTAAAAAAAGGAATTTATATTAACTTATAGTAATGCATTTTAAAATTTTAAAGGATCTTACAATCCTTAATGATAGTTAAAATAAAACCCTTTATTTCAGTTATTTTCTGTATTTTTCAATAAACATTTATTGTGAAAAAACTGAGCCATATTTTAAAAAACAGGCTAATTTTTTATTTTAATCAATTTTTTAATCATGCCTTTTAATTTTAATTAATAAAATGTTTAATATATATAAAATTAAGATTCAATTAAATTCAAAAAAAAAAAAGTAAATTTTATAAAGTTCTTAAATCCATTATAGATAAAATAAATAGCATAATTGCAAAAACAAGAAAACTTTCATTTATCAGTACAAAATAAATTATTTATTTACAGATTCTATATTTTTAATTTTTTTTTTCATCTCAAAAAGATTTTTTATCCATTTATTTGAAATTTATTAAGGAATTTTTAAAAATAGATTTATTTACAAATTTATATTTAATTATAATTATTTACATATTCTATATTTTTTTAACATTAACTTATTGTACTTATTTTTGAAAATTTATTAAAAAAAATAAAAAACTTTATGAAACTTATTTATTTTCTTTATGCAAAAAATAAACAATTCTCCATTTAACAATCCTACATTTTATGATACTTATTTGTAAATTCTATATTTTATGATATTTAAATATTCAATAATTTATGATTTTTATATACATTCTATACTTTATGATGTTTATTTACACATTCTATACTTTATGATGTTTATTTACACATTCTATATTTTATGATGTTTATTTAGGAATTCTATATTTTGTTGATCATTAACTAATATTATCTTAATTTCTTGATTTTGTGCATATTTGAATGCATTAACACATACATGTATAAACCAACTGAAGCATTGCCCTTAATAAATTCATATTTATATATGATGAATTTCTCTTAATGGTCTACAATTCTATTAATGCATTGATTTTGAAAATAAGTTAATTTTTTTTACAATTTTTTTATTCTTCTTGTACATTGAATTGCATATTTATAAAAAGGAAAAAATGTCACAAAATTTTATTTTTATATTGTTGAATAAAACTATAAATGCTTCACCAAGATTAAATCATAATCACTGAACCTATCATTCCTGGCAAATGCATCATGAGTCAGTCGTTTCTATAGAAGTGCAAAATGGAAAATTTTATAATATACATTTGTCAAAATTTTTTAATCCTTGGAAATAAAAATTCATTATATAATTTACTTAAACAATTTAATTTTTCAATTCATTTCAGGTTCATGTTTTAAAAGATTAGAGAAAGTCTAGAACTTTTTTGAATCATTATAACTAAACAAAAAATATAATAAAAATTAATATAATACATCATTTCAAATCATTTTATAAAATATATACAGTTGTTGCAGATATTAACAGTTTAGTAAATCAAATCAGTATTTGCTCATTGGATTTTTAATTTATGTTGAATGTTAGTTTAAGATTAAAAAATACTCCAGATGCACCATCAACTCGTTTATTAATGCATTGGCTGTGATTAGACTTGAAAAAAATTTGCCATTTTAACATTTTTTTAAAAAAAATGTAATCAATTTCAAACACAAACAAAAGACAAGATTTTGAATGCTGATTATTCAAATAAAACTTTTAATTTTAATAAAGTTCTAATCAATATTTGCTGTTCTTAAAATATTATAAATTTAACATTCTTGCAAAATATATATCCAATATATTTTTTTTTTTTAATCATTAAAATATTAAGGAATAAAGCCACTAAACAAGGGGTTAAGCTGTATGTAAAAGAATATGAGAAAAAAAGAAATTTTTAATGAAAAGAACAATAAACGAACAGGAATTAAGAAGACAGAAGATAATGATTGGCATTGCATTTAAATTTTTGAAGATCAAACTTGACTGGACAGCAAGAAGCTGAAAGTGAGTTCCACATAAGAATAAATTTTTTTTTTTCCTTTTTAAAACTATTTTAGAACTTAAAAGTTACATCTTAATTTTAAACTCTAAAATGATAAGTTCTTGCCACCAATTTAGTACTGTACTCAAATTCATAAAGTCTAGGTACCAAAAAGAAAAAGTTCATCAGAACAATTACCATGAAAATATTTATAAAAAAGGCACATTTTTTTTTGGGAATTTATGTTACAGTAGTGGGAAAGTGGCTGAACGTGAAATGACAAGTCAGAGCCAGTAACATTGCAGATTCTTCTTTGGACTTCATTAATAATCTCTAAATATATAACAGGAACACCAGATAATAGATTCTGCCAAGAAAATTGTCTATCATGACAGAGTGAAACAACTTTCCTGGCAGCAGACCTAGCAATGGATACAATATAATCTTTCCACTTCATGTCAGTGGAAAATATTTGCCCAAGATTAAAAGCAGCTATGCTGATGGATGGCAAAAAGGGATTAAAAGAGAGCAGTTTTCTTCTGGAAGGCATTAAAATTAACAAGCTATTTTTTGCCCCATTTAACAACAGATTCTAGATCATCCTTTATATCAGCTACCAATTTGATCTTTCAGATCAATCAAACTTACTATTAAATCACTAGTAAATAGTTTTTGTCATCAGTATAGATATCAAATTGAGAACTGATGACATATCAGGAAGGTCATATCAAATGTGTGTATATATATATATATATATATGAAAGAACTTTCATACTGTCGGATTTATATCCATATATTTTTACATATATATATATATATATATATATATATATATATATATATGAAAATATGTATATAAATATAAATAAATATATATATGTATAATTATTTATATATTATATGTGTCTATATATTTATGGGAAAGCGCTCAATATCAGAGATCTGACGATCGCTAAAGCGTGAAACCCAGGGTCACAAACTCACATCTATCCAACCAAATATATATATATATATATAGATTCAAAAAAAAAAAAAAATTTCGCTTGAAGATGGAACAGAGCTTATTTTAACTCAATTTAATTTAAATAATTTAAATAATTATATTGAAGTTTTCGCTCTTGTTTTGAAACATGGGACTTCTTATGTCGCGATTTGGAATCATATTTTTAAATAAAATATATATATATATATATATATATATATATATATATATATATATATATATATATTAGGGTGTTTTGAAAGTAAAAGTAATTACATTTTAACAGAAGTCTGGTGAAAGAAGTGATTGATTCATATCTTTTCCAATGGTATTTGTGTATCAATGAATGTAATGAACTTGACCAAAATTTGAACTCGGTTCCTGATTCCAGTCTGCTATCTGTTACACCACCTGCACATCCATGTATGTCTGGGTGTGTGTTCTATGCATCTTTCAGAATTTTTGAACAGTTCTAGTAAATTTGCCAATGGAACTATTTATAGGATAAAGTAGGTCAAGAAAGGGACAATTTACCAATGGATTATTACCAACAATCATCTTTGCCATTTTCCAGTCATTCATATTTATGAATGTCTTCTTATTTATTCATTAAAAAATTGATTATCTTCAAATATATTTTTTGGAGTTATGCATAGATATATTGGAACAGCCTGATTGGTAATTTGTTTCAAAACAGATGCCCACGTTCTTGTATAAATAATTCTGAATGGGAGTTATTGCGATCTTGTAATGGTTAATGAGAAAGTTTCACAATTTGTTGTTAGTTTGTTTCTCAATGAGAACAATAATGAATATAGTTATTAAAAGATTATGTCCAATATACATTTGCAATTTTAAATATTTACTAACCATTTTCTTCTTTGTACATTTTTCTTTGTCTTCTTTTACTTACAATCTCCTTTATATTTTCTATTAAGTTTATTGTCTTTCATGATAATCAGAATGTTAGAAAGTGAACGAGAGGAAGAGAGAGAAAGAAAGAGATAGAGAAAGTGAGAGAGAGAGAAAAGAGAAAGAGAATAAAACCTTGAGAGAAAATTAGAAGAGAGAGAGAGAAAAAGAGAAGGAGACCGGGGTCTCTGGGTGAGAGAAATAGAGAGAAAGAAAGATAGGGAAAGTAACAGAGAGAGAAAAAGAAAGAAATAGAAAAATTGAGAGAGAGAAAGAGAGAGAGAAAAGAAGAGAAGGAGAGAGGATAAGAGAGAAAAGAGAAAGAGATAAATAAATATATGAGAGAGAAAAGGAGAGAGAAAAAAAAAGAGAAGGAGATAAAGAGAGTGAGTGAGAGAAATAGAGAGAAAGAGATAGGGAAAGTATGAGAGAGAAAAAGAGAAAGAAATAGAGAAATTGAGAGAGAGAGAGAGAGAGAGAGAGAGAGAAAAGAAGAGAAGGAGATAAAGAAAGAGTGAGAGAAAGAGACCAAGAAAAAAGAGAAAGAGATGGAGAAAGTGAGAGATATATAAAGAGAGAGAAAGAGAAAATAGTTGTGGGAATAAAAGTGAGAAAGACAAAATGAAAAGTATTGGCTGTTGAATTTTGTATGTAAAATAAGTCCCATTACTTCCATTAGTCTTTCGTTTTTATTGTATTTGGTGTGCTTCCTTATAGAAGAAAAGGGAAAAGACATGACAGAATGAGCACTACAAAATATACACATTGATTTAATCTTATTTGAAAACACTTTCAAATGTTTATTGATTTATTTTAATCAGTGAAATTCCCTTTCAGAAGTACTTTTTAACAGAATTTCCTTACTCTTACTCAAAAAAAAAAATGAAACCTGGTAATAAAATTTAAAAGACAGCCAATCACAATTGAACATCTGCATATTGGATGCTTTTTCTTAACAACATTTTAATTGGTTCATTCTCTCAGTCTGTGTAAATTTTCCTTTTTATCTTCTGCTCTTTGTCTGTTTTACCTACATCACATTGAGTGAAAACACAGCAAATAGACCAACAACAAACCCATCCCCAAACAAAAATGCAGATGTATTCCTTACCTGCAAAATCAAAAGGTCTCTAAGATTTTCTGGATACACCTTTACAGAATCCAAGCATTTCTTTTCCTATTTGTTTAATGACTTTTTTAAAAACTGATCTCTTTGCAATTGTTTTTCCTTCTTAACAATTTAGTTAAGATATCTCACTTTTTAAGATAGAAGTTTGTTTCATATTGAGTTTATTCCTACCCTGTTAGGTTTGTTACTCTGGGGAATGATGTAGATTGCCAATGCAACCAACAATAGACTCAAAATCAAACAAAAGTTTGCCTAAGAATAGTCAGAGAACAAAGAAATTCTTGTAAGGACATCATTATTAATAAATAAATAAATAAAAATAATATATATCACAAATAAAATAAAACAAATAACATTAAAACTTTGTTTAAAATAAACTAAATAAAGCCAAAATAATAAAAGTTCTCCCAGCATGCAACAGAAACTTTTCCTGTCAGGAACTGGATACTTTACACCAAAAATTGCCAAAATCTCTTCACTATGGAACCTAGGAAGCTCAAGACATCCTCCTCCTCTCCTTGCTTGTATTAAGATAAAATGACTTTCTTCCTCTATTACATGCAAACATATATAACTAAAATACGCACACACCATTACACAGAAATAAATAAAATTATCTGATTTCAATTCAAAATTTAACATGCTTTTAGATTATTATTTTTTTGTATGTTTTATAGATGAACACGCAGCTATCCCTGCTAGTATGATGTGAGTGGCTCCACACTCAACTGTTTGAGTAATGAGGAAATCTTAAAGAAAATGGCAACAACAAGGGACTATACTTACAATCAGAAAGAGATAGTTAAAATTTATGATCCATATAATGAAGAAAGAAGGCTACGAGAATTTAATACACACAAGGCACACTGAAGGCAAGAGAAGTAGAAGGAAACAGCAAGCAACCTGCTTTATCTGTTTGTAGTAGAATATGGAGAAAGATGGACATTAAAAGATCAAAATTTAAAGCAACAAAAGACAGGAAGATGTGGAGAGCCACTTTCGTTCATGTTCTGAAGGCCATATAGAACAATATTGTAAAGATTTATTATTTTGTTCATGAAACTCACGTTAATATTAACAAGAAATATTTTTAAAGAATACTATTCAACAATGAAAATGAGTACAATCTGAAAATTCATTGGATATTAATATCAACTGATCTCAATTTTTATTCAGTTCAATGATTTGTTTTTGTCTTGTTTTTGGACTGGCTGTTATGAGCATATGTGATAAAAACTAGTAGAATTGCTAGTATTACATAAAGATAGAACTCTCTTTTTATTATATTGTGATATGCATTAATCTACCTAGCATCAAAAGCATAATGACTTCCCTTGCAATATTCCTAATTGAGAGAAAGGAAAGAATGATTGCTATCTGTTCTAATACATCAGAAGTAGGCAATAAAAAGCCACATATGCAGACACACTGATCAGATAGCAGGTAAAATGGGCAATTCAATGAGCCATCTCAAATTGGTCATTTTTAAGGGCTCCTGTTCAATGAATCCTAACCAGATAAATTGTGAGCATCAAAATAGACTTGCTTTTTTGAATCTCAACATTAAGAAGAAAAAAAATGAGCTCTTTGTTCTTTTGCCTAATCACCTTTTGACAAGTTTTCTGCTTTCCTTTTTCATGTTTTATCAAAGCTTGTTTTAAATGTGCATCAAATGTGTTCATTTCATGTTCTCTTCTTGATGGCAATGAATGAGCTCAACATTTTGTAGTCTTTAGTTAGCAGCTGTTCCTTCCTTTTCTTTGCTTTCTTCCAAAATAAGGATCTTTTTTACAATAAGGCTGAAAGTTAATGGACCAATATTTTTCAGCTACTACAGGGCCAGGCATGAAAGTCTCCTTGAGTCTATAACATCTCACCATTCACAAATGGATAATATGTTTTTCTTTTCTTTTACCTAGTTAATTTTTTTTAATCTAATGTTTAATTGCTCTAATAAAACTTCTTTATAATCTTAACATATAGTTAATATGGAAAACGGTAAATAGAAATCTGTGAAATGTGAACAAAATTAAAACATTATAAAGTATAACAAATTTTTTTTCAGAATAATGTTTAAGGTCCAAGAGTAAAAAAGTAAGAGGCACAATTTATGAGGATGTGTGTGGAAAATAATGATTAACCTTAAATTTGAACATGTTAAGCATGTAATCATTGGGGAAGCATCCTCTTGGGAGTCAGTTACACAAAGTAGTAGTTTGTAGGAAGAAGCTGTTGGAGTGGAATTTACATCTCACCAATGAAATATGAAGGGAATGAGGGTGGTTCATTATAATGGGCTTGGCATAGTGAGTTTTAAAAGTTTAGGACTGGTGGAACTTAGGGATATAGTTTGATTGTTTTCCATGGAAATAATGATAAAGCAGTGAGAGGCTTGCAATATTTTGTCTGTAGGAAAAGAATTGTAAGTTGGAAAAATTCATTACTCATAAGGAATGAAGTGCACAGATAAAAACAACAAAGATAGAGATAGATCTCTAAATAAGTTGTACAATAATAAAATAAATTATGTTTTTTTCTCATTGAAAAAAGTCTTCCAAATCTAATATAATTTTATTTAGCTTCTTTGTTAGAAAAAGTACATGTCATTGATATATTTCCTTATTCAAGATAAATCATAAATTAGCTGAATTAAAACATTTTTAAACCAAAATATCTTCAATCAGTAAGATTGACTATATTTTTATTAAAACCTAGTAGTAGAGCCCGGTGTTGCCCGGGGGATATAACAGTAAGAGATACATCAAGTATCGACCATCATAAAGACTAAAAAATAAAATTGGCAAAGATTATTGTTTAAGGTTGACAGACACGTATGTCTTAATTAGTTTTTTTTTTTTTACGAATTGGTCAAACCCAAACTCAAACAAAAATATTGTTTTCAATTGTTATGAGTCTACCGATTGAATAGAATTTTATTATAAACAATTGTCTTGTAAATGGAATTTTTAAAGCATTCTGAATGTAAAAATAAAGTGTGCAAGACAATAAGAAACACTACCTGCAAAAAAAACCCCCAAGTGAAGTTTTGTTGAAATCAGTTGAAAAATGTAGGAAATCCGATCCCATATATAAACGAACACACACACAAAGAACCTGGGTTTTATAATAAGTATAACTCGATATGAGTTGTCCCCCTTTAATTCTTGCGATGCCTTAATCGTGTTTTCAAATTGATTTCATACAAAAACAATTGTGTTTTTCCAATTTTTGGTGATGTCAAAACCACCGCAAGGTAATTTTACATAGTCTTGTGAAGTTTTGTTGAACTCAGTTGAAAAATATAGGAAATCCGATCCAATATATAAACGTACAGACACACACACACAACCTGGGTTTTATAATAAGTATGATAAACATTTTTCCATGAAGCAATATATTTAATTGAAGCTTCTGAATAATAAAAAATAACTTCTGCCAAAAGTATAGAAGAGATTCAATATTCAATAACTGCTGATTATAAACAAATAATGGTAGAACATTCTGCACAGTTCTTTTTCAAGTCATTATAATTAAGAATCATATAGAATGAATTGCAACATTGCAAATCACATTTCTTAAATTATCCTCATGTTGACTGCATATATTGTCAGAAATCATGAATAAAAGGTTGGAAGCACTAGTCTGCACAATAGTATGCAATGTCAAGTGATTCTGTAGAGTAATATAGAACTTGCAGACATTTTAGAGATGTCCCCTCTTTTTCACCATTCCAAATTAAATGCAACATGGGCTGAAAAGCATTTTTGAGTAATGATGAGAAGACAAAATTTGTTGAAATGCTTTATGAAGAAAAGGCAACAGGGCAAATCACTAAAACTCTTGCAAACAACCACAATACAATCAAGAAATTAATCTTGAACCCAGCCGCACATTTGTCTTTTACTCCACAAATGGAAACTAGTTTCAAGACAGAGATGTGTAAGCACCCACTTACAATGTGCAGCAAAGGGTCATTGGAATTCCATATGTGCCTAAAACTGCATGATGGTGCATCCTGAAGCACTTACGAATGTGCACCAATTTTTCACCTTTTCCAAGGCCAAATTACCTTGTTAAACATGTTTTCTGGGTTGAAGAGTATTTAAAATTAGATTTTCAGTGTATGTTGCTCATGGACAAGTACAGAGTGATGCTGGATGATTCTGACAGTTGGTGAACTGGATGGTGCCTGGATGACCCCTTTAAGCCTCTTCAGCTAAGACATCACGAAGGAGGCAGATAGGTCATGTCTTGGACTTGGGTTATTGACAATAAGTTGGTTGATAAAATGTTTACACCTGATATTACAGAATATATATTTCAAATAATATTTTTTCTGAAATTTGGAGTATCAACATATTATTTCTTGATATTAATTTGTATTTTTAGTAAGAGGCTAAACTCACATTTCTCAGTGATGTCACTTCCCTAGTTTTACTGTGTATGTTGCACAACTCTTGCAATCACTCCACAAGGAAATAATGTCATTTTGAACAATTTTTTTCTTTTTCTTGTCAGGAAGCAATTTTGTACCATAAGTTTCTACTTAAATAATTGGTCTATATTAAGTTTAAGAAGGTTTTTTGAAATTCCCTGTGTGGTAAATA